AATGTTGCCTAGATTTTATACAAGTACTTCAATCTTCTTCCATACAACAGTGATATAGATGAGGAGACGGGGGTCTACGAGGATTCTCCTACAACTAATATCAGTATCGCTGCTGCTCTTACTGGTTGTTAAGACCTTATTTACATTATAATAGTATCGAGCATCACAACAGCAACAATGGTGGCAAATGATGATACTGGTAGAATGGAACAACAAGTCGAGCGCAACTAAGGCATCATGTTGCCACTCAACGCTGTGCCCTAAAAAGGCCTTTCCTCCGATGCAGACGAACAAGAGGTAAGAGGAACTGTTCAATAAACTGGCAATCGAATGAACATCATTCTATCAACCGACGGAATGGACAATGCGAGATGATGTAATGTAGGGTTATGCCGCCATAACCTCGCTGTTACGCGGTATTCTTCGAGCTGCATAGGCCGCCATACCTCGGCTCTGAAGAAGAGAAGTGATCATCATAAGTAGGAGTCATAGTCCCACCCTTGCTTCTCTCCTTCGCGGCGTTGAGACGATGACTGCGCCACGAGGTGAGCTCTGATACCTGACAGTATCAGCACCATATCTGTATAGAGCTAAAATAAGAAGTTGCCTACGCATACAGGCTACATGATGGTGACACTCCGATCGCTCCGCGTGTACGTGGGGTATCACCAACTGAGAGATACACCAACTCTAGTGAGGTACATAGGGAACCGATAGCTGCTCACCTAGGCTGCTAGTGGTGATACGAGGGGATGCACTAGGGTACCTGCTAATGGTGTACTCTATGATAAGCATTAATAACTTACCGACGCCTATACATAGTAGGGGTGCTCATCACACCTGAAGTATTGTGAGGATAATCAAAAGAGCAACCCCACGCACTTACCAGAAGCATCCAAGGATCTGCTTGTTGCAGGTCGAGCTGATCTAGGCTTCCTATGGGCCATCAAGCCCGGTAGTGGAGGTAAGTGCTGATCATGATTACGCATAGATTCATCTGGGACGCGTGTTGAGGAGGAAGTAGTTGAAGTAGATGGCAGGGCTGAAGGAGAGGCAATCATGTAAGAAGAGTCGATATAGTGTTACACTCATCCATATGCAGTGTTGGTGTTAGCGGTACCACACCCTCTTTGTATGGAGTTGGTGTCGAGTCGAGAGACCTGATGGGATATAGTCCAAGGGGGTCATCGGACACATTACCCCGCACTGCTTGGCGTTGTTATGTTATCCACCACATTTTTGCTCTCAGCACATCCCATGACGATGGAGAATACTTTCAAGACACTAACCTACCCTGGGTAGACACTCAGGACAAATGACAAAGACAATCCTTCGAACTCGAGGCGGAAAACAAGTTAAAACGGAACCATCCATTATCCAAGAACTTGAATGACACTGAAGGGTACCCATGCACGTTAGCATGGAGGTCGTTGGTCAGCTACTATCACTTGACATATCTTCATCTCTGTCCGCCCCGTCGACCGTGTCTTCTGGTGCTCTGAGAGATAAATCAATACTAGAGCTAGAACCAAATGTGCACGGTGCCACAGAGCCCGTACGGATCCCCATCACCTTCCGGTCCCGTCTGCTCCCTCTGGATGGTGCCTGGGAATCCACCTCACCAGCAGACTTCATCTCGCTCGAAAGTTGGACCCCGCTAGGTTCCGAAGTCGGGACCTCCTCCTGCCTTATATCATCCTCACAAGACTCGTAGCTCCTCTCGGTACTCGGACTGGACTCATAAGAACGGAAGACCTCATCATACGTGTATAGACCGCCATCATCTTTGCCATCCAACTGCTCTACTGATGCCGGCTCCTGAAATTACATAATCACTACACTTAGAAAGGAGAACACAAACCTGATTCACAGGCGACTGGGGAAAGACGCCATTCGGCTGACGCTTATCTACATAAACCAAGTCTGGTAACCTTCGAGGTAACCTGAAAGGCTCCTCCTCAAGGATGGTCTACTCCCTCTCAGTTGCACCCAGAGGCATCTGTTTGACCATTCCCATCATTGATCCTAGTAACACTCCAGCTGGCGTATCCAGTCCCTGTCCCTAGCTCCAATAACTGCGAGTGAAAATTGAGCAACCACGGCTTTTGCGATGCTGTAAGGACCGTACCTACAACGACAGTGGCATGGGATTTTCGTGTTTCAGAGCATCACAGTGAAATTCATCTCTAAGATGGCGATACATGCTCTCCTCCCCATCGAGAGCCACTGCACTGGTGCACTCATCCAGCAGTGCCCAAGGCGGGCTGCGGAAACTGAGTAATACCAGCATCATCAAGAGGAGCTCCATGATGGGAAGAAACCAATATTACAATAGCCTAGCCATGCCTATTCTCTGCTGTTCACCAAGACTAAGCTTATTCTCCCAATCCTCATCTAGAGTTAGTAGCCCTTCAGACTGGCGTGGTACGAGATAGCTCAAATGAACATGATGTAAGCATTCCTCAACTCTCGACAGAGTTGTCTCATCAGCGCCGGCCTGACGCTAGCATCATGGAGGCTCACCATTGTGCGTTATTAAACCGTGCAGGATTACCCTGTGCGGATAAGTGACCAAGTCTGCTAGAGTTCCTTCTGGCATATACGGCTTCGTTGGAACGTAATGCAGTTCCTTAGCCGATG